CTCTTCAAATTCCTAACCGGATAAATAATAGTATTAATTCTACCCAAGCTCTCTCAGTAATACAATTGACCTTGTGCAAAACTATAATATAATTTAATTTTTATACATAAAACATATATATTTTAGAAAAGGGCCCTAAATTATTTACAAAAATTAGCAAAAAAAAAATGGACCCTGTGCATCTGCACACCTATCACATGGTTAGAGCCGGCACTGATTCTACCTTATAGAGATTTAGAGCAACCACAACGGTTAGAGATAAGCTTTTGAGTTTCTTATAATCACTCAATATTAATATTTTAATATAAAAATAAATTGACCATTAAAAAGAAGAAAAATGAAAGAAAAGTCTCTAAAATGTTTAGAAATGTTTTTTATATAAGGTATATCTCTTGTTCTCTCGCCTCTTTTTCTATTTATTTTTAATATTTTAATGTTAAGGTACCTTGTAAGAAACCTGCATTGAGGTTGCTCTTATTGCTTCTAATTTCCCAACTCTCATTTTTTTTTACTATTGTAACTTTTTTTATTATTTTTTGCCATAATTCCCCATAGATTGATTATTGCTACCAATGAGATCTTGCAATATTTCTAAATATACACGACACAATAACTCATCTTCTTGTTGAGTGAATGATGAGCCTCTATTTTTTTCTATATTGTTTATAAAATGAGTTGTGAAGTGTGATTTTTTTCATTGCATGAAGTCTATTATTTATACACGATAATGGATGTAAAAGATTTCAAATGAATGGCTACAAATCAATTTTGTAGATTTGCTTATCAAGTTGGATAGATTGGATATAATTTTAATCTAACGGCTGATAATGTGAGCTAGAGATCTAATGGATAGTGTAGATTAAATTAGAAATATTTCCTTATCTTCTCAAATAATAAAATGTATATCTATAAAAATGTATACATGGACGTTTCACAAACATCACAACTTAGTAAAAATGAATTTTAATATTGGAGAGTCATCTTCTTTTATAAATTTGTCTTCTTCTTCAGAGTCATCTGAGTTTGATGAATGGCTGATGAATGAAAATGCATCAACAGAGAGAGAAGAACAAATTGCAGCAAATTTGTATGTCAACAACAACCGCCTTCTTCACCAAATTACTCAAGAAAGCGATCACGTAAGTCATCGAGGCTCTATTCATGGTCATGCAGTTACACACCGTGATAGAGAAAATGCTCATCATAATTTGTTCAATCATTATTTTTCTAATAATCATGTGTATGGGTGACAGAGAGTTCCATCGTCGATTTCGAATGTCATAGAGGTTATTTCTCGACGTTGTTGATGCTGTTGTTTAACATGACAACTATTTCACCCAACATCGTCTTGTGACTGGTAGAATGGGCTTATCCACTCTCCAAAAAGTAATAGCCGCTATTCGGATTTTGGCCTATGGTATGCCTGATGATGCCGCAGACGAATACATCATAATAGGAGATTCTACATCAATTGAATGCATGAAGAGATTTTGTCGCACCATTGTAGAATTGTTCTCGAAGTGGTATCTCAGGTCACCAACATCAGAGGACGTTGCCCGACTTCTCAATATCGGCCAAAAACGTAGATTTCTTGGAATGCTGGGTAGTCTAGATTGTATGCATTGGAAGTGGAAAAATTGTCCAACTGCATGGGCACGACAATTTGCAGGTTGTAGCGGATCACCCACAATAATTCTTGAAGCTGTAGCAGATTACGATCTATGGATATGGCTGCCTATTTTGGTATGCCAGGCAGCAACAACGATATTAATGTTTTGAATTCATCTAACTTATTTTCAAACCTTGCTCAAGATATCGTTCCTCCAGCTAATTATATTATTCAGGGACAAGAGTTCACCATGGGTTACTACTTAGCTGATGGCATATATTTGAAATGGTCAACTACTGTTCAGACTATAAGTGATCTTCAAGGTCCAAAGAAAACATTATTTGCAGCAAGACAAGAATCATGTCGGAAGGATGTTGAACGTGTGTGTGGAGTTCAACAATCCAAGTTTGCTATCATTGCACGAGCATCACATTATTGTAAAAAGAGGTATTGCATGATATAATGACAATGTGCATTATAATGCATAACATGATAATTGAGGATGAACGTGATATCACTGCACCGATTAGAGAAGCAAGATCAGTATCAGAAGCAACCGTGGAAATGGCAATAAACAAAAATACTCGATTTCAACAATTTTTATCTCGTAATCTACAGATAAAAAATAAAGAGACTCATATAGCTCTTCGAAATGCATTGATTGATCATATATGGGAGTATTACGGAAATAATTATGTTCAATAATTTAGTAAATTAGTTTTAATATGTGATTTCGTTTGTATGTTTTTATTATTATTTTGTACAATTTTATTTTATAATGTAATATTTTATTAATTAATATTGCTTGTAATATTTTAAATGTATGTTTTACTGTTATTTATAAAAGTTTTATGGTTTTATGTAATTATAATTAATATCAAGGACTATTATGCAAAATACAAAACTTTTTGAAGTTAGATTTGAGGTTTTTTATTGGAGAGATACAATCCTAAACCTCAAATTTGAGGTCTCCTTTGGAGATGTCCTTAGAGTTACTCTATTTTAGAGTAAATTATAGAGATATACATTGGAGATGGTCTTATAGCTAAAAGCTGATCAATCAACACAGAAGACAAAAGTGAACAGTTACAGATTATTGATAACGTTCTAACTAGCACAAACTTGTGAACCACATATGAGTAGTGAAAAATAGATATAGAAGAGAGAATTCAGTATCTTTGAACTGTACTCTTTTTTTTTCTTTTCAGTTTTACCTATAAATATTCTACATACATTTTATACTCTACCACACAATTTTTCTCTCTAATTTTTACAGTTCACAATCCGACATTATACATTTTGAGAGAGAAGAATATTAATTTTATTTTTGTGTGTTTTTTAAAGTTTACACGAGTTTTATTTTGATCATCTCAACTCTAAAGGTGTGACTGGTATGTATAATAGAGGAAAAGTTTTTCTGCTAGTTTCTATTGGACCCACATAAAAAAAGAAGCAAATAGTCAGATCCAAAATGTATTATTTTTTCCTCTTTAAGAGCTTTACAAGACCGGAAAAATTTACTAATTTATACATATTATTAACTTATCGAGTATTAATTTATATAGATTTTACTATATATACTCTTTAACTTTCATTTTACAGTAAACCTCTATAAATTAATATTCGATAAATTAATAAACACTCTAACACTCTAAATTAATAATTTTTTCGGTCCTGAGTTGGGACTAGTGTAAAAAATGACACAAATCGATAAATTAATAAGGTAATAACTTTTTGAAAATCCTATGTATATATATATGGTCGCATCAATATTATAAATGTATAATTATACAAACTTATATATATATATATATATATGTAAAATGTTTATTGAAATATGACTCCATATATATATGAAATATATATGTAAAATGTTTATTGAAATATATATATGTAATATATATATATATATATATATATATATATGTAAAATGTTTATTGAAATATGACTCTAGCATTGTTTGTTTTTCTTAAATTTGTATTAATTTTTGGTAGAGTTTAATTTTAATATTTTTACTACCCCGAAAAAAGTTTTTGTTGTCTTTTAAATTTAATAATTAATTTTCTACTTGTAATTGGTTCCGGAAAAAAATTGATTATAAAAAAAAAAAACTGTTTTTTTAGATAGAATTTTTTTAAAGTTACAAAATTAGTAAAACATTTCTATAAATTAATAATTATTATTTTATTAATTATTAATTTATCGATAAATTACAAAACAATAGAATTTCTCGGTCCTAACATTATTAATTTATAGAATTTTAACTGTATATCAAATTATCAATTACTTTTAATTGTTTTCTTCCATTTTTTTTCTATGAATGTAAACCAGTTATACACGTAATATCTCTCAAATCCTCCAACAATGAAATGTCAAATTAGTCATAAGATCAAAATTCAAAAGAATGGATCAAATAAATTAACCGTATTTGAAAAATCAGATACTTAAATATATTAATACTGTAAAACCTCTATAAAATAATAATATCGGAACCGTGAAATTTTACTAATTAGATGTATTAATTTATCGATAAATTAATAATTATTTAATTTATAGAAAGAGTTGACTAATTTCATAAAATTTTTACAAATATTTATTCAAAAAATGGTTTTTTGGTTATAATCAATATTTCTAGAAGTTCAATTTCAAGTAAAATTAGTAATTATCATGTTTACAAGACAAGATAAAAAGTTTTTGTTACAACAAAAAATATTATAAATGAACTCTAATTATAACAAAAAAATTGCAAATTGTTTTTTAAAAAAACAACATTAGAGTGATATTTGATAAGTTTATATAATTATTAATTTATGATATTGATGAAACTATATATCTACATACGATTTTTTAAAAAAATATTATTTTATTATTTTATCTAATTATGTTATTTTTTACATTAGTCTTAACTCGGAACCGGAAAAATTTTTTAATTTAAAGAAATTATTAATTTATCGAATGTTAGTTTATAGAAATTTATCAATTTACTCATTTACATAAACAATAGATTGATTTGACCATTTTTTTTTTTTCATCAGAAGATTGATTTGACCATATTCAAACGTGACTGATATTGACTGATGATATACATCATGCTTGATTGATCTCAGTAAATCAAATATCCCTATCGATTGTCTAGCGAAGATCTCTGGACATCTAGCAAAAAAAAAAAGGGGATTTGCTTAAGCGTCAATTTAGGAGAACATATTTTAAAATCCTAATTTTTTATCCCTTTTAACATGCTAAAACCTCAACTATTTTGATGTTTTTATAGCATACATTATAAACTTCATTTACTTGGTTTGTCTACAAGGTTTAAGCTGACGCTTACTAAGACTTTGTTTGGGTCAACAAAGAAGACTGTTACAACTCTCTTCTCTATCATAAAACGCATAGTTTCACTGCAATTTCTTGTAACTACAAAACTCAATGGATAACAAGATTTGCTTCTTCTACATTATATAGCAGTCCAACCAGAGTTTTTGGCATTCAGTTTCAGGTAACCAGAGACTTTATACAAACAAAAAATATCCTACCACATGGCTAACAGATTCAAGGTCTCTTTCATATTACAGATACCAAAAGAAACAAGAACATGATTCATAATAAGATCTTGAAGAGTATTTAGCCGCTGTACCGATAAAAAGGCCCTTGACTGGAACTATATCCGATAAAAAGGATTTAAGGGGCCTCTGAGAATAAGGCAAAATGTTTATAGTTTTCTGCAGTGAATTTTAAAACCTTAAATACTTCTATCAGCTTATTACTACTTACTTAACTTAGCTTAGCTTTAGCCTCTCGTTCTCATTATCGTGATGCTTCCTTTTCCTCCTTCGGTGCGGATTTTAGTCTTCCCTACAACGGGTTTCCCAGAGAATGCTGAAGTTTGGATCACTGCAGGCTCTTCTATGTGTTGTTTAGGTTTCGCTGGTGGATTTCGGATTTTCTGGTTTATGTCCTTGAGAGTCATACCACCGTGAACACCACATGGTTTGATGAATGCAAATGGATAGATGATAGAAGATGGTAGCTTTGACACTGGTCTTGAAAAAGATTTCCGACCTGCTATTACCAATTAACATTATAATAATGTTTTGTTTTCTCATTCTGTCGCGAAATATGTGTGTATCTATGAGACCCATTTGTGACTAAACCAATGTATTTTGTACCTTTAAAGATAACATTTGGAGAAGATCGAGTCACAGGCCGCTGAACTTCCCTGGTCTCTGTTTCTGGTGGCACATTCAAATACTCTGCACCAACACAGGAATTTTAGCAAGAAAAGCCATAGCTAGAGCCAGTTCAGGGAGAGACCAGAACAAAGAAATTTAACCTGAAATATCTACTTGGACATCAGGGGAACCAAAGCTTCTGAGAAAAACAGCAATAGTATCCAGTTAATGAAGCAAATGGTGCTACTAAACATAACATAAGCAAAAAGAAAGATTGAAACATACAAGTCATCAGGTAGCATTGGAGTCTCAGCATCATTTAAGCATTCAGCGTACCACTCTTCAGCATACAGATCAAGGCCCTCAAAGCTAGAGGCAGAAGCGTCTTCTGAAAAAGAAACAATGTATTGTTTAAATGAAAAGCACATTGGCCTGATTGACTTGCAAGAATTAAAAGAGCCCAACCTGAAAACCCTTCTATAAGCTGAGACCCTTCGGGTAAAAGCTCATCAAATGTCTCATCTCTGGCCTGAAAATGCATAGAAGAAACATCAATCAAAGCATTCAAGATAGCATCAGAACCCCATACAACCTCCTAAGCTCCAATGTTGCTTAGATAACTCGACATTATGTACATAACAATTGAATTAGCCAGCCAAATACTAAGAAGCTTTAATTTTCTCTAGGAGTAGAAGAAAAAAGCCTATGAAACAAAAGAGATTCCCATTTGCAAACGTTTGAAATAAACATGCATTCACAATGCAGTCCATATGCAGTGTGATCAATGATCTACATCCTAGGTCTGCATCCTAATAAGTAAGCAATGAGTTTGGATATCAAGAATATATATGTGGACATTTGGTGCATAGCTAAAGACAAGATATGGGTTTGTGTACTCACGCTTGACTTTAAGATTGCAGAGAAACTCTCACTGCTGAAAAGGGATGTTTCAGGTTGGTCTTCGAACTGCAACATCCTACGCCTCTTTAAAGCAGAGCGTGTCTCACTATGCACTTCCATTTTCCTGTTCGTGTCCTCTAAAGCCAGAGATTCTTTAGATTAGAAACCATCATTAAACAGACATCAGGAATTAAAAAGATAACTTGAAAAACAAACCCTACCTGTTGTGACATGATAACCCAACTCGCTACATGCTTTCACTGGAGTAGTTTCATCATCAAACATGTACGAGTGATCTTCTTGGTTTAGTGTAACTTCAGTCATCGTGCAATCAGGCACATCCGCTGGAGTTAAAACACCAATTCAATCATGCTTGTCACAGTGTTGTAAGAGTTAATTGATACAGAAAAAAAAAACTTACAGAAATGAGACTGTGGTTGGTGATTGTAGTTATCCACTTGCCAATTCCATGAGGTACTACTGCAAAATTATACACATCACAATCAAACCCATAGTAACAAGCTTAGGAGACAACTAGTTACTAATACACAAACGATCCAACAACTCAAACTATGCAAATAGAGTAGCACATTACATAATTTCAAGCTCAATCATAACTCAAGAACCAAACAGAGAGCAACATTTTGACAAAAGGAGGCTAATGAAACTTGGGATCTTTAGCATTGACAAGCTAAAAAACAAATCCCAAATGATTGATGAAACATTAAATGACCCAAACATTTCTTTAACTCACAATTAAAAATCAAATCCAACATTTCATCCTCGCATTAAAAACCCAGAAATCAATCAAACCCAAAACCCAGAAAAATCACCACCAAATCTGAGCGAAACACACAACGATTACAGTGAAACCCAAACAAGAGAACACACGAATCACACTAACGAAGCACAAAAACCCACAAAAATTGAAGAATGTACTAATCAAATCATCACAAATCCATCAAAATCAAAAATACCCAAATCGAGATGAAACAAGCAGCAAAAAAAAATTAAAAAAACTACCGATCGTCGTCTCCGTAATCCATCGATCTTCTTCTTCCACTTATCCGAATAACTAGCCGTTGCCCAGAAAATGAAAACACAAAAAATCAACAATAAGAACAAAAAACATGCACGCTCCAAAAACAACAATAAAGAAGCAGTTTTTGACTGACCTTGTGTGCTCGAGATATGTGCTTAGTGCTTACTGCTTCAAAAAAAAAAACCCAGAAAAAAAAAAGTTAAAAGCGGCGAGTTTCTCTCTCTAGGACACTGGTCAATATTTATAGTCTCTCTGCATCTCTATTTATGAGAAGAGAGAGAGAATTGCAAGAGAAGCTTTTTTATTTTATTTTATTAATTTAGATTTTAGAGAGAAGAGAAGAAGAAAAAGAAAAGACCATTGCGAAGCACGCTTTCTGGTTTCTAGTTTCAATGTCGTCGTGGTTCCTCTTTTCTCGCGATTTTCTTTACTTAATTGTTGCAATTATTATTACTAATCATCACTTTATTTTTAGTGTAATCTGTTTGTTTTTGGATATAACAATATTCACTTTTAGATTTCATTTCAGTACTATCACTTAATTCGTGTTATATTTGACTCTGTCTACTGTATTATCGTAATAGTTGAATACTTTAAAGCAAGATAAATCAGATTATTTCAGAGTCAGTGGTTAGTCACTTTCCAATGCATATATAAATGAGTTTTTGTTATAATTCATTTTTGTTATAATTCAAATTTTATGAGAATTTTCTTTTGGCTAAATTAGTAAATCCCATATTCCCATCAAATTTAGTACTATTATTTGGAGACTAATAATTTATTCAAAGTTTGTTGATTTTATTGTAACTGATAATGGAATAAATTGAAAAGATAAATTTTACAATTTTTTTTGTTCTTTATTAAGTAATGACAAAATTCGTTTATTTGTATATATGATTCATATGTTTACAAAAACATAAACGCACAATAAATAAAAATATACAGTACGTTTCAGTGAACGATTATTGAAAACGTTAAAATATCATAATGTTTTAAATAGAAAAAAAAACAAAATATAACGCTTATTTTTCAAATAAAAGATAATTGAAAACGTTAAAATTTCATAATGTTTTAAATAGAAAAAAAACAGAATATAACGCTTATTTTTCAAATAAAAGTAAAAGTCAATTGACTCACGTTTTTTGCTAATTTGCGGATTTTTCAATGTAGAAATAATTTTTCATATAAAATAATAAATATTATTTTTAAAACCATAAAACAATAATTTAGTAGCCTACATTGGATTTTTTTGTGTTAAGTGGACACCAAACATAGTCTATTTAATAATTCTTCATTCTCCATTTATTATATAGTTGGTAGAACATTCTTTTTAGATATGTAGATTTATTGTGTGTTTTTTTTTCGGTTCAGTTCTATATCTTTGGATTGTATTTCCCATTATATAAAGTTATATAGCTAAAATTATAAATATCTGAAAATTTTAATAGTTAGAATAGCATCAAATGTATTATAAACTATTGGAGTAGATATTTTAAAAGATTTGATAGAATTTAGATTTAGAGTGATTAAGTGGTTTTTTAGGATTTCTACATTATGTGACAAATCTCTTACGTACACAAATACCAAACTTATGATCGGTCCAATAAGTACAGTAGTCTAATAAAATTGTAATTGTGGCTCAAATGTATAACTATATGTTTTGGTTACATATTGTCCCAAGAACTTGAGCAAATTTCTTAATATTATAAGTATTTTAGATTAGGCGAGTAACTAAGAGTTACATTTGGTTTTCAAACCGGCTCTAGGGATACATGAACTCAATTTTTTTAATACACTCTAGAGATTCGAGAGAGTAAGTCATTCATAAAAGTAAGAATTTTGGCAGAATTTTTAAGTTTTGACGTTTCCAAACAGATTAATATGCAATATAATGATGATTACGAATTATAATTCATTTCCAACCTAATGTTATTTGTATTTGAAATTTTATGAGATTTGTTTTTGGCTGAAATAGTAAAATCCATCAGATTTAGTATTATTTGTCAGACTAATTATATTCAAATTTTGTTGATTTTATTGTAATGTATATATATATATATATATATATATATAATGGAATATATTGAAAAGATAAATTTAAATTTATTTTATTTTTGTAACTTTTTGTTCTTAAATAAGTAGTGACAAAACTAGTTTGTTTGTGTATATGATTCATATGTTAACAAAAAAAAATTAAACGCACAATAAATAAATATATACGTTTTGGTAAACGATAATTGCAAACGTTAAAATTTCATAATTTTTAAATAAAAAAACAAAATATAACGCTTATTTTCCTTTTCGAAAAAAAAAAAGTCAATAGACTTACAGTTTAATCTAATTTGCGAATTTTTCAATGTAGAAATCTTTTTTATGTATAGAATAATTTTTTTATATTATTTTTAAAACCATAAAACAATAATCTAGTAGCTTCTATTGGATTTTTTTTATGTTATGTGGACACCAAACATAGTCTATTTAATGATTCTTCATCCTCCATGGATTATATAGTTGGTAGAACATAACTCTTCTTTCTCTTTTTTTTTTATTTTCCAGTTCTATATCTTTAGATTGCATTTCCCATTATATAAAGTTATTTAGCTAAAATTATAAATATCTGAAAATATTAATAGTTAGAATAGTATCAAATGTTTATAAACTATTGGAGTAGATATTTTGAAAGATTTGATGGAATTTAGATTTGGAGTGATTTAAGTGACATTTTAGGATATTTTGATTAGATTTGTACATTATGTGGCAAATCTCTTGCATAAACAAATACCAAACCAAACTTGATCGGTACAATAACTAGAGTAGGTTAAAAATTGTATTTGTGGCCCACACTATTTGTTTTGGTTAAATATCGTCCCAAAAACTTAGGAATCTTAGGCGAATCACTTAGAGCATCCTCAACGGCAGGATCTCAAAAATAGAGGTCTGTTCACAAAAAAGTATTATTTTTATTATAATTTTCTTATTTAATTAAATTTAAAATAATTAATTAAAGTCTACCAATAGAATCAATGAATCTGACAAGTTGAGTTTCTCTAAAATCTCTCAACGTGTCTTAAAAGAGAAACTTAAGAAACGATTCTCTCGTAATTAACACTCTCTCTTCTTCTTTTTCTATTTTTTCCATTATTTTAATTATTAGAGTTGGTGTGAGATCCTGCCGTTGAGGATGCTCTTATAGTATATGTTATATGTATTTTAGAGATTAGGCGAATCACTTATAGTCACATTTGGTCTTCAAGCCAACTCTAGCTATATATGGCCTCGATTTTCTTACATGTTCCAGAGATTCAAGAAAGTAAGTCATTCATACATTTAGGAATTTTGGCAAAAATTTAAGTGTAGTTGACGTTTCCAAACGGATAAATGTGCGATATAATGAGGGGATGCAAAACAACTAAGAGCTAAAGAATGGAAGATTCTTGTAAGATTGGAAAACAACTAAGAGCTAAAGGCTTCCTGAGTGGCACGTAATCAATTCTAAAAGACCATTTCCAACAAGGGGTTCTTAAGAAGTTCTTAGTATTAATTCTTATAAAAACTAAATGAATAGTTACCTTAAATCCTAAGAACCAGCTCTTATATAAGGGGGTGTTATTGGTTCCTAATTTACATGAAATTTTGATGACTTTAATAAAATCATAGAAAGTAAACAAATGAAAGATTCTAAGCTATTGTTAGAGAGTTTTTGAGAGTTTTCTATAATCTTGTTGATTAGTATTTCATAATCTTGTAAAGTTTCCCAAACAATCTCTCTATTTTGATGATATTTTTCATGACTTTGTTTTGTGAAGAAAAGTGTAGAAAGTCATAAACCAATAACATAATAATTTAATTCATTAACAATCATAGATTCTTTTGTTGTAATTGAATAACACAAAACTTTTAATGACTTTATAAAAGTATGAATCCAATAACTCCAAATTTATGAAGATTTTATATTACTTTTTACAAATCTTAAACTAATAACACCAAACTTTAACAAACTTTTAAAAAATCTTGATTGAATAACAACAGATTCTACATAACATTTAAAGTCACTAAAACTCTATTTAAATCACAAACCAATAACACCTCCTAAGAGTAAAAAAAAACAGTTTTTAACATTAATTCTTAGCATTTCTTTATCTTCTTCTTTCTGAAAATGTCTCCGCAATCCATAATAACCCGAAAAATTCGACCCAAACCAGAACCCAAAAATTTAAATTTACTCAATTAGGTCCTAAACTCATATACCCGAAAATCCGAACCCGAACCCGAACCCGAATATACCCGAATGTTTTATTCGAAAACCCTAAATTTTACTCGAAATTTGAATTTTTAACCAAAAATATTTACCCGAAATGTATATATTATTCATTTTTAAATTAATATTTTTTTCTAAGAACCACAAGTTAAGAACCTACCATTGGAGACACATAAAATTTAAAACCAATAAACAACCTCTTAAGTCTAAAATTTACAAATTTAATATTAAACTAATCCTAAGAGCTAACATTAAGAGACCATCAATGAGGTTGCTCTAAGTTCATTAACCAAAGATGCACATAAAACTAATTGTAGAAAGAAGTAAAAGCATCATAGATCATGGTAAGAGCATCTCCATCGGTCAGAAACTCTGTTGAGTGTCTGACAAATATAATAATATTAATTTTTATTATTTAATTGTTTATTTAAACCAATCAGAAGAAGACAACTGTAAAAATGGGTGTCTCAGAGTTTCTCAAATGAGAAACGTGTCTGTCCTCTCTCCTCCTTTTTTTAATTTTTTATTATGTTTTATTGGAGAGTGTCTCACCTAGACACTTTCAAAGAAGATGGTCTAACGATCCTCTATATTGACAAAACAATGCTTTGATTTCATCTTCATTTTTCATCTCAAGTTGCATCAGTATAGATCAAAGATTAGATATCAACCAAAAAAACCTAGGCCAATCTTGTCATAAGTAGGTGGAGAAGAAGCTGAGCAAGCTGAAGCAAGGTTTATATCAATCAAAACTTTGTAGTGCTTTTTCAGAGATTATTCTATATGACTATATCTATGTTATGTAGTCATACAAAATTCCATCCGTCCGCTCTGATCAGCTTCCCGAATCGTCATACAAGATTAGATTTCCAAGAAGAAGCCAGCAACATAAAACTAGTAGTAGAAGTAAAAAATCTTCATAGATCATAGTAACAATACTAGTCCAATCCTCTACACAAGATTGCGTCGATTTCATCTCCATCTTGCATATTAAGCTGCATAAGTAAAATAGACACAAGAATCATGATCTTGTCTTCCCAGTTCAAAAATAACAACATTGAAATAAAAAAAAACTCACCAGGTGTGCGGTTACGAGGGAGATGAGACCATCGAAGAGGAAAACAACATTGTCAAAATTAAGATTTTTAAGCTCACAATAAAACGTCATTAGTCTCAACAACAACCTGTTACTTTTCATCTTGATGAACGTTTCATGATCATCCTGAAATTTTAATAGTTTCGTTTTTCAAATTATCAAGAAAGTTATGGTAATCTTGGAAAAAACAAAAAAAAAACAGAGCAAGTTCTAAAATTCTCTTACAAATCTTATTAGGAGTACGACTAATCTTATTAGACAACAGTGACGTGTTTTTTGTGTCCAGGGAAGCGAGTACAAGAGCTATGTTTACACGCACGAAGGTGTACTGTTAGAATCAATTCCCATTGGATAATCTTTTGAATTTCAATTTCAGTTTTTGGTAATCGACGGCTGGGATTGCAAATGAAGATCTAACGGTAATGACTCTTACTCCTTTAAAAAACAAAATTTAGGCCTTGAATGGTTACTAGATTTTAAGTGGTTTTTGGTTTTTGTTTATGGAAAAATCTATTTTTTCACCATTCAAAATTTTAAAAAATTAGATTCCCTAAAATTTAGGAAAACTAGTTTTTGAGTGGTTTCTCCAAATTTAAAGAAAAGCTAAAAACCACAATTTTGAGGATTTTGGAGAAAGTTTTAGTTTTCAACGTAATCATGTTTCTTTTTTTTTTATTTTTTTATTTTTTGAATTAATTTTTATATTTATAACAAAAAACTAAAAACCAAAATTTAAAAAAACCAAAATCTAAAAACCAAAAACCACTAAACATTCTCATCTACTCATCTTGTTACTCCGATTAATTAAGCCCACGAGTTGTATGATCAAATGTGTGTTAGTAACATCATTATCTCAATATATGGGCTATTTATTTTATTTAAATCATAAATTGCAGCCCATTAAGGCCCAAGTTCATCCATTCGTTAAAACGACGAGGGTTTTTTCCTCCTCGTTTGCAAAAGACACTCAGTATATCAAAACCCAAAAGCCGCGACCACCGTGAGTGGGAGAGAGAGAGAGACAGTTGAGCCACCATTGTGGTTGTTATCCCGTCGTGCTGTCACCGGAGCAGTCGTAGCCCATAGTCGAGGCCCTTAAGGGTAAGGAAACCCTAAACTTATTCTGTAACTTGCGCAGGAATTTTCTGGCTTGGTTATAGGATCTGTTGCTTGTGCTGCAAGCCATCCGAATCCTAGATCTGATCTCTGTTTTGCCTTTGATTGTTGAACCATGATACCTAACTACCATGGGATTGAACCACCACAGATCTGCTGTCGAGCCGTCCACTTCGCCGTTTCAGCCGCCAAGCAAACCGCCGAGTGATCGTCGAGAAAGGTAATCCGTCATGAACTCTCGTGTCTGTTCTTGTTGCTTTTGTTGTTTATTAAACCGAGAAACTAAACCAACCTAAACCAAGAGATTCTATGTTTAATTGAGTCCATAAACCGAACATAATTATCTTGAATTCTTGAGTTGATTTGTGGTATTGAAGTTGGGTTTGTTTATTGAAATTGATTTGTGGTGGTGGAGTAGTGTTACTTTTTTTGGCGATTAATATTAAATTATTAAGATTTGGTTTGGTTTAGTTATTAAACCAGTTCTAAATTTCTAATTAATTTAGTTGAGAAAACACAAATCAATTTAACCAGACTTTGTTATTGGTTGGGGTTAGTGGGATTAAATCATTGATATTAATTTTGGGTATTAACTTGATTTAATCTTTGCCCGGTTAACCTTAACCGATGCAGACCGAGTTTGTTGTTGAACCGGATTCTTATCTTCTGCTACTGCTAGTCCTAAACAGAGAAATCAACCCGGATTGTTAAGGCAAGGACGAGTTCGTGTCTTCTTCTTCGTATACGATATAATTAGTTAATTCATTTAGTTTAAATTAACCAAGTATACCTACGAATTAACCATACTCTCTTAATTCCTATATCTTCAAGTTCCTTTAGCAATCATTGATTGACCTCAATTGCAGCACATAACATAAAATAATTTGATTTCTGTGTATTCATTATCATTTTTTGAGAACTGAAATATCTGTTCAGACCGGTTGAGATAATGTCGACAACGAGCAGAGTTGGAAGCAATGAAGTGAAGATTGAAGGGAAAAAGCGTAAAGTTGTGTCGGAGCCAACTCATGTTACTCTGAAAGTGAAGGGTCAGGTATATATTGATTGTTGAAACTTTACATTTTCTAGATTCACTACATATATGACTGATAATATATAACTTGTGTGGATTTATATAGGACGAAGAAGAGTTTAGAGTGTTTTGGGTGAGAAGGAATGTTAAGCTGCTTAAAATGATGGAAGTTTACACCAAAATGAGAGGCGTCGAGTGGAATACATTTCGCTTTTTATTTGATGGTTCGAGGATTCGAGAGTATCATACACCTGATGAGGTATGTATTTATCATTCGAACTTAAAAGATTCTTATACTTTCTAAGATGTCATTCATAAATATATATATTTTTACTGTGTTTTGTTAGCTGGAGCTCAAGGATGGAGATGAAATTGATGCAATGTTGTATCAACAAAGTGGTTTTGGTCCATCTTCTTTAATATTTAGAGTTTGAGTATTTCAGGTGTGAATGTAATAGTACACAGATTTAGATTTCTAAAACCCATATATTACATGCAAGAAAATGGTTCATTGTTACATGCAAGAAAGGAACAAAAAGCTTTGTTGCTTCTGTTACAAGTTTTAAATAGTTTGAGGAAAGTAAAGCAACATAAGGAAGAGTTTATCTGTATTAATGTTGCTTGTGCCTCTAACAACTCTTAATTTTAGCATGCCTTAGGTAATTCTGATGCACAAAGCCTTGTTTCTTTGTCAGTATTTCAAAGAATTGCTTAGTCTTCTTCTCCATAGGCATGTAGGTGAAGAAGAAAGATTTATGAAAAGCCAAGGTATTTGGACGATCTTTGAGGCTAAATTTCTTCAAAAATATATCTTGAAAAGAAAACAATGTAGGTCTAGTTTCTCTTCTCAAACTCTACACAAATCACTGTCAATAATACCAAATCTTGTCTTTGTTTTCATTCACTTCTCATGAAAAAGCACCTCAATAAGTCTAAGTTCAACTAACAAAGATCCACATAAAACTAGTAATAGAAGTAATCTTCTACATTGACCGAACAAGTATTGCTTCGATTGCAGCTCCGTTTTCCATATCGACCTGCATCAATAAATACCAAAAGATTAATCACATACTAGCCAAGAACTGAGAAACATGACAACAACAAACATTGAGATCAAATTACATCATCAGGTGTGAGTTCAGGACGTAGACGACGACCATTGTAGAGGAAGATGACGTTCTCAAAATCAAGATTTTTAGACTCACAGTACAACTTCATGAGTCTACTCAACAAACACTTTCTTTTCATCCTGAAGTATCTCACATCATTACCCTGAAATGTTTTTACTAGTTTCAGTTTCACAGTATCAAGAAAATTATGCTAATCTTAGAAGACAAAAAAAAAAACAGAGCAGTTTCTAAAATTCTCTTAGCGTATGTAACACATGCATATAGATCAAAATTTCGTTGGGGCATTATATCGAACAGTTTGAGTTCAGGGATTATATCTAGCAGTTTCTAAAATTTCCTTACAAAACTTATTTGGAGAACGAATTTCTTCTCTTCTTGATCTGTTACTCCTCCTTCGTCGCCGCCGTCGAAGTTACCGTCGTCGGTAATATCCGATCTTGTTGTCGACATAGTTCACTTTCTCCAAATCTCCTCTGCAAAAGGATTAATGTGAGGTTTTACAGGTTCTTCGTCATTAGAATTACATATGTTATTTTACTTTGTATTCAAAGGTTACTTTGGTAATTAGATAGCACTTACAATCATTTCCAATGGATAAGTTTTTGTTAATGGACGACTGAGATTTGCAAATGAACATCCAACGGTAGTAACAGATTCTTTTTTTTTTTTCGTCAAAGCAAATTATATTAATTTGAATTATCATCATACAAATTGTTTACAATCCAAGGAGGGGATCATGGTTAGTAAAATAGAAACAAATAGAACTACACCTAAATTGGGCAAGATTATGAGCTACTTGGTTACAACCACGGTTTACATGAATAAAAGAAATTTCTTTGAATTTAGACGCCCAAAACTTGATATCCCGATAAAAGCCTGCAATGGATGCATCGGTTAGGCCACCGTTGACATTGTCGATCAGTATCTTACAATCACCCTCGAAGAAGACTTTGGTGAAACCACGGGCCCAAGTTTGTTGCATTGATGAGAGTAAAGCTTGCGCTTCTACCTCCAGAGATGATCCTGTGATTTTTAAACGAGAAGAACCCCACGCTTTCGGTATACCGTCATGATCCCGAATGATCCATCCACCAGTTGTTTGTTTAGTAGTTATATCATACTTGGCATCAAAATTGCATTTATGATACATTCTAGGTGGCCGTGACCAAGACGATGTTCTGGTTGTCGGAACAGAGTTTGAGGTAACTTTGCATTCCTGCTTTTCATGTGCTTCTAGCCACTCTCTTACATCCGTTTTCTCTTGCAAAGTAACTTTTGATGGACTGATTCTAGCTTTGTTGAACACAAGGTTGTTTCTTGATTTCCAAATTTGCCAAAGTAGCCAAAAAGGTAATAATTTGTTTGTTTTAGAGATACCTAAGTTGTGTTGCAAATCTAATAAACAAGAAAAATTTTCTTCAATGTCCTCCGATGAGAGTTGTGATAACGTTAATGGTATATTTGAGAGTCTCCACGTTAGAATGGCAAAAGGACATGTAAATAAACAATGGTTTATTGTTTCATCTGACAGTCCACAACGTTGGCACATAGGGTCTAGGTTCATACCTCTAGTATTCAAACGAGTCAAAGTGCCCACAGCTCGTGATAAGATACAACAAAGGAAATGTTTAATTTTTGGTAAAATGGGTAATTTCCAGATTGCATTTTTCAATTCTAACGAGCCATGGGGTGGTGGTGGATTTGGTGTTAAACGAGTGGGATCATGGTTGGCGAACCAATAATCAGAACGTACGGTGTACTCCCCTGTCTCGATAAATGAGTTTGTAACAGAACCTGGCAGTCAGCAGCCTCTAAATTTGCTAATATAGAATCATTCCAATGGCGGTAAGAACCCGTATTAGAAACAAAGTTGCAAAGGTATAGCTCTGGATTAGAAGTAACTAAATTTAAAGGTCTTGGTGGGTGAGTGGGAACAACATTTTCTTTCATTAATTGAGTTGCCATCCCCAACTTGATACCTTGTGCCCTTTTTAATAATATCTAAACCTTGCAGAATCGATGACCAACCATAAGATTGTTTTTTCCTCGGTTTTGCACTCAATATTGATTCATCTTTGAAATAGCGGGCTTTCATTAGACGCGCGAAAAGAGAGTCAGGATGTCGAATAATCCGCCAAGCTTGTTTTGCGAGAAGAGCATCGTTAAACTTTGCAAGATTACGAAAACCTAATCCTCCTTCTTTTTTGAATATTGTAACTTCTCCCAAGCTATCCAAGGTATTCCTTTATGTTGTGTGCTTTTTTCCCACCAGAATCTCATAAGAAGAGATTCAATTTCAGAGACAACTCCTTGAGGTAATTTAAAACATGACATAGAGTAGACCGACATGGCTAAAGCCACAGATTTAATCATGATTTCTTTACCAGCAGGTGAAAGAAATTTTGCGCTCCAACATGTAGTTCCTTTTTTAACCCGATCTATAATATTGTCAAACATTTCTTTCTTTTTTCGACCAAATTGTTCAGGCAAACCCAAATATTTACTACCTCCACCATGATTTGGGATGGCTAAAATTTGTTTTAAGTCATCTTGTTTATGACCAAACACTCTCGATCCAAAAGTGATCATTGATTTAGTAGTATTTATTTTTTGACCTAAATAATATTCATAAACCTCAAAAGCCTCTTTTAAAGCTATGCAATTTCTCCTGTTAGCTTGGCAAAAGAATAACGAGTCGTCTGCAAACTGAAGATGAATAATACTCGGGACACCGTTTCCAATACGTACTCCGCGTATATCACCAGAAGCTGCCTTCTATTTAATTAGGTGGCTCAAAATGTCGGCACACAGGATAAATAGATATGGAGAGAGAGGATCTTCCTGGCGTTTATTTTCCGTAATTTATATAAAACACACCAAAATTCCAAAGATGCCATTTATCTTCATATATTATAAATTATTTGACTATTATTGAGTAAAAAAAAATTCATTTGACTATTTAACCCTTTTTAATTTCTTTTGTACGTTTAACGTCATCAATGATTTTTTTAATAAGTAAAAAAAAATAAAATTAAAAAGGGTTAAATAGTCAAATAATTTTCTAGGCTTAAACTCATCATACATGCTATTCCGATTAATTTTAGGCCTACAGATGTATGATCAAATGCTTAAACCAAGACTGCTCTCTCTTTGTAACGACTTTAAGTTTCCCTAAACTGTTCTAAATTATTAATTTTGGGATGAAAAATTAAAGATTTCCCCCAATTCATCATTAATCTCATTTTACACACAAAATTAGTCATCTTTTTAACACCTATCGTGCAATACGGCTCAAACCCAAATCATCAAAACTATTAGTCCAAGAAATAGAGAGTTTATAATCCTAAAGAAACTAATATAAGTGCACAATGCATACTGGCAAAAACGTCTTAAATTGGTCGCAAAGTCACTGTTAGAGACTACTTACCGACTACGGCAAAACGTTACAAATATTTGGTCGCAAATTTTCTTAGTAACAAAACTGTCGCTAATTTGCCACCGCATTGTAACAGCTATATATAGTCATATATAAGAGACGATGTTAAGACCCAAATTAAAGGTCATAGTTAAAGACCAAATTAAATAGTGACTATGTTTATTTAACGACTATTTAGAGACTTTGTTTGATGGTGGTATAATAGAGACTAACTTTCCACGGTTTAGTAGTCATATAGTTGCGACTCTTTGAAGCCTAATATGGGACTTATAAACTCAGCAAAAACGATGAAAATCTCAAAATGTAGTCCCGAATTAGTCAGTTCTATAGTTACAGTATAGTCGCATAATAGTCTTAATACTTTGTGACTTACTTAAGACTAAGTGTATTTAGTCACAAAAGCGTCACATATTAACAAATAATAGATGAATTATTTTGTTCATTTTCACACTACAACAAAAACGGTAAATTGGGGGAAAAAAAAAACGGTAAATTACGTCATTTTTCAACGTCGATTTTGGAAAAACATTAAAATAAGCGGTCATTTAGCGGCATTCTATTATAGCAACTCATTTGCATCGGTTTTTGAATTGAATTTGATAAAAAAAAAAAACAGAAATTAAAATAACACAAAAAATCACAGAAGTGATTGATGGCTTGATTGGCTAAGTAGGTACAAAGCAAAACATATAAGTAAAATTTTTGTTTCGATTTTTTTTATATAAGTGATTATTTGATTTTTTTCTTCAAATTATGGCTAATCATATATACGAAAGAAGAAGAGATTCTCTCCAGGAGCTGCCACATAAGCACTCTAGAGGTCGCCACGTGGATCATAAGATATAGAGTTATGAGAGAGTAGTCTCTTCACATTCGTCGTCATCGTTTTATCTTCACTGTTTTAACTTTCAATTTTTCTAATCTCCTTATCATCAGTAATCAATGCACTTAAATTCCAAAAACGCTTGGAGCATTCAATCACTCACTCCAAGTTTTCATCTCACTATACCAATGTCTAGACGATCCATTCATTTAGGGTTTTTAAGTTGAGCGAGAGAGAGAAAACATCACAATAGCCAATATGATGTTGAGATTACCCGAACAGCTTGTGGAAATTCCCCGCCCAGCTTCTTCATCCAACCCGTTCACTATTTTTTTTATTCTCTATAATCAGGACTAAAGTATAAATCCATAGAGAAAGACATACGTGCTTCTTTATTTTGTGTGTTGTTAGTTATATGTTTTTCCACCTAATTCAATTGTATGATCTTCTTGATTAATTTTACTCTTCTTTTGTAGTTTTTTCAGCATGTTCAATACACTGGAAAAGTACTAGATATGCGGATGAGTCTTCATTTTTTAAGTCAATAACAAGCATGCATATGCCAAAGAATTCGAGGGGCTCTCGGGATTTCAGATTTGTAGCATATACCAGAAGTCGCCATATGGAAGGACTAAGGAGAAGGATCAAATGATGTGGATCATCAAGCGAAGTCTCAATGGAATGCAATCCCGGATAAATCTTTGCCTTGAATATATCATCTAAATTAAAAATTTAGTTTTTGTTCACCACTAAGATCTTTATTTATTAAAAGTTCTTTAGTATATTAGTTGCTTGGTCTTAGGAGTATAGTAAATATCTTATCTAAAATCGTATCATCTATAGTGAGCTTTTAAATTTATTGTTGAAGTTATGGAGATGATGATGATGATGACGACGACATGTATATATATATATATGAAAATCTGGTATACCGGGAGCATATAACTGGGCCGACACGAGCACATGCGTAACCACCAGACGGTTACATCCCAAGTTTCATGCTGTGAGAGTCGTGTGCTGATTTAATGCTCACGAAAAATACTTTATATATAAAGTATAGACACAAGATTTAGATTTCTAAAAATTACTCGCTATATATAATGGTCATGAGGATCTTTTGGTGTCTTTTGGAAACCTTTACTTTTTATTAAGGATTGAAATATGTCTATCATGTTTTAACATTGGAACCATGACAAGGTCTTCCTAACGTGCTTGTGTTTTTATAGTGTAATGGGCCCTTGATACGTACCAAGGAAGTAAAGACACGACACTCTCGCCTATATGCAAGGTGAGAAATCCAAGTGTTTACTGAAATGAGTCTTCAATCTTTAGGTTTTATACTCTTTTCATATGAAATACACCTAAAGCAAATGTGTAGTAGTTATATAAACTTTTATTGTTCAAAATATGTCAGTCTTGTTTTTAATCATGAGCCTATCAAGGAAAGAGTAAGGAAGTGAAACATGATTGTAGCTTCACTTTCCAAAGAGATATGTTTCCACAAGATTGACGGATCATACATAAGTTTGATATTTCTTTCAAAACATTGCTTCATATTTTGTACGCCAACACAAATCAATGGATCATATTCGCTGACTTGACGTTCATAATATGCATGGATTGTAAAAACTGTATAGACTGTTCACCCTGATTATATCCACGCTTAGGTTAGGTAGGTATGAATTTTTGTTGCTCAAAAAAAAAAAGGTAGGTATGAATATTAATTATCCTGCAAAGAAGCTTCACCCAAGTGAGTTTTCAGTTACCGTAACTATAAAGTTTCACTTACTCTGGCTGAAGAGTTTTCACAAAACAATTGACCAATGAAAATGGGTATTGCGGAAGAAAACGCAAGTGTGACTTTGTGAACTTGCTTGTTCTCACTCTTTAAACACAATATTCTTTTTTTTTTGTGCACCTAAACACAATATTCTTAAAATATTGAATTTGTTTACACATTTCAGATTTTTGTCACCTTTGAACGGCATACTTTCTCACTCGTCTTGTGTTTCGATTTCAATTTTAAAAATTCTCTGGTTCTTGTTGGGTTTTTTAGAAAGATTATCGTATTAGTAAAAAGAGAGACGAAAACATATTAACGAAGAGTGGAAACATTTTCTTGATTTTCGAGCAGTCACGCCACCAATTCTTTTGAGAATTCAAATGGTTTGCGATAAGTGAGTTACTTAAATTTATTTACTCTTGCAAATAAAATCAAACACACATTTACACAAGATTCATTTTTTTTTTTTGGTTACTTAGTATTTCAACCATTTTTGTGTATTTATTAACTTTTAATACTATATATTTGTGTTAAATTTCAAAATCCAATATTATAATCTTGTACAAGAATAATTTTTTGAGTTTTCACCATATCCAATTCTTATCACTCTAATTTTTTTAAAGTTTACTTATATGAAAATTTTATTTGCAATCCAAATTGTATTTGCATTTTATCGATAATGCATTCGGCTATACTTAATATAAAACATAATTTTATTTTATAAAATATAATGCAAAGCTATTATCGCATTTGGAAGAAGAGAGACGAAAACATATTAACGAAGAGTGGAAACATTTCTTGATTTTCGAGCAGTCACGCCACCAATTCTTTTGAGAGTTCAAATGGTTTGCGATAAGTGAGTTACTTTAAATTTATTTACTCTTGCAAATAAAATCAAGCACACATTTACACATTATTTTTTTTTTTTTTGGTTACTTAGTATTTCAACCATTTTTGTGTATTTATTAACTTTTTAATACTATATATTTGTGTTAAATTTCAAAATCCCATATTATAATCTTGTACAAGGTTAATTTTTTGAGTTTTCACCATATCCAATTCTTATCACTCTAATTTTTTAAAGTTTACTTACATGACAATTGTATTTGCATTTTATCCAAAACATCAATCAAATTGTATTTGCATTTTATCGATAATGCATTCAGCTATACTTAATACAAAACATAATTTTATTTTATAAAATATAATGCAAAGTTATAAACTAGATAAACCCGCACTACGTGCGGGTATTCACCTAGTAAGTTTTACTTTAGGTCCGTCCAAAGATTTTTGACGCCTAAAACCCAATAAATATTTTGCTTGCCCTTTTACAAACTAAAATATAAAAGTTGTTAAAAGTTTTGGCAGAGAAAGGCTCGAACCCGTCACTTAATACCATTAAATGAGACCCCAACCACTAGACGATAAGACCTTTACACAATATTGATGCCCCTTAAATCTAAAATATATTTTGTTGTCTAATGCACCAGCTTGCTAGTTTAGGTCTGGGCTGGCTCTGGTTCCACTCTATGGACTTTTATTCTCCTACGTTTGATTTTTCAAACTACGATTTGCCAAATATGGCTTGAAAGCAATGCGAGAGACCAGCCCCGGCCCAACATATATTTGAACGTTTGGGCAAAAAAATTGATTTGGATTTTTTCTTACTTATTTTTTTTTTGAAACTTTTTCGATTTTTTGGTTAAAATCAGGACTATTTTGTAAATAACCGTTGTCTTATTTTGAATTTTTTTAAATTATACAGGCCTTTTAATGTAAAAGATTATAATTTTGAAAATTTTGGACCCATTTATTTGAAAGTTCATGCCAATTTACAATTTTTTTAAAAGAATATGGGCTTATGTCTATTTCATATTAAAGATTTACAAAAATCTATTGTCCCCTATGCTACTGTCCTTCTGCCCACCCCATTTGGGCCGGGCCTGTGCAAGACGCACCAATATGACTATACTCCGGCTAACAAACCTTATATCCGCCAATAATAGAGTGATCTCCACCCACATATTTTCATTGGACAACGTTCGTGAGGAGCTACAACAGAAATGGAACTTACTATGTAGGCCTTAATTTTAGGCTATGTCACTTTTATTTCAGCAGCTCTAGTTTTAACTGCCCCTTTGTCTAGTACTTGGTTTACAATAAATTTTTTGATTAATAAATTTCACATTTCATATAAAAAAAATTAGGAAAAGAGTTCAAATTTTAAAATAAACAAAGACAAAAACAAGGGAATTCAAATCTGAGAGAAACTCATAAAAAAATTAAAAAGGAAGAAAAAACATAAAATGTGAGAGTTCTAATATGTTTCAAAACATCAAAATATAGTTTGGCATGCTTGGGAACAACATGAACTTAAACTTCTGTAAATTTTACCCCAGGAAATATGCATTTTATGAAATTAATCTTGCATGAGCTTTGGTTTTTGCTTTTTTGGGGATAGCCAATTCCAACTTCACAAGAGATGGTGCATTTTTTACAAAGAACTCTACTATATCAAGCTCATGCCAATAGCCTTTATAGCCAATGATTTTGACTTCATTGAGAAATTTCAAAAGGTAACTGTTGTTCTTAATTTCCTCCTTATGATGACTCTCCCAAAAATCCAATCGAGGTGCAAATGTGAAATTTAGAATCTACACATAACAAACAAAAAGTTTTAACGAACGTAGGTAGATAGATAGATAGATAGATAGATAGATAGATAGATAGATAGATAGATAGATAGATAGATAGAGAGAGGCGTACACCGCTTCAAGTTTAGGGAAATCTTTGTGGAGTTCAGCAATGTCAATAAAGTGCAAACTATCTGAGGTTTAAAGAAAATATCGAATGTGAAGTTCTCTAACTTGTACTACCTATATGATCATACTTGTAGTTTTGTAAAGTGGGTACGTCCAAAATGATGTATTGGATATTATGCATAGAAGATAAGACCATCGACTTAAATTTCTTATGATTATAATCGTGTATGCTTAGTAGCATGTTCATACATCATTCGATTTGTTCAAGTGACTCTTGTGGATGCAGTTGCTGAAAATTGCATATATCGTCTTTTTCGTCACCTTAGTTCGCATAAGCCAAAATCTACTCCAGAGCCGCATAGAAGACGAGACCATCTACTTAAACTTCTTGTGATTCTGAGTGTGTATGCTTAATAGTCTGTACATACATCATTCGATTAGTTCAAGTGATACACGTGGATGCAGTTGCTGAAAATTGCATCAATCAAATCTTTCGTCACTTCGGTCCGCATAAGCCAGAGTGTATTCAAGAGCTTTAGACTTTTTTTAGAATTATTTGATATTTTAAAATTTACACGATGGCATCTTTTAGACTTGTAGAGTCTCCATCGCCGAGAAATTGATCGGGATCTCCATAACTTTCTTGGAATTGGAGAAATCTAACTATAGCTCTTGGATGTTCTAACCTATACATGTATTGATCCACAAGATGATTATAAGTTGTACCCCAAGATGATTGATAAAAAAAAAAATCGGTGGAGTCAAATTTGTTTTGTTTATCAATCATCTTGGGGTAGAAGATAATATCATCTCATGGATCAATAGATGCATTGGTAAAAACATCCAAGAGCTAGAGTTAGATTTCTCCAAATTCAAGAATGTTATGGAGATATTGATCGATTTCTCGGCTATGGAAACGCTTACAGTCTTGAATCAACGATGGTGTAAATTTGAACTACCAAATAATGCTTCCAAAGACCTAAGGTTCTTGAGGATACTAGCTTATGCGGACCAAAGTGATTGAAAGAGACGATAGATGCAAATTTCAGCAACTACATCCACCTCAAGTCGCTTGAACTAATCGACTATCGTATTTACGGGCTATTGAGCATACACGCTCAAAATCATAAGAAGTTCAAGTCGCTGGTTATTTCTTTTATGTGAAATCTCAAGAGAATGTAAGAAATGGCAGAATCCTAAAAAAAAAAGATGAAACTCACTCAAACAATCCTGGAAATATGGTGGAACCCGTTTGTTTTTTTTCCAAAAATTAAATTTTCAACATAATTTAAGTTATTATATTTGTCAAAAGATAAATAATGTTTTTATATAAGTTAATAAATTTTTGTAACATAAAACAAAAATTTCTAAAACATTAACCATATGAGAATCAGTTCTCTTGACATTTATACTTTTTTGTTGATTTCCTAATTGTTTTAAATTAAAACTTACGTATACAGTTAAAATATATTAA